TGCATGTAAACTCGCTGCTTCTGCTGCACCTGCTGGGTCCGGTTCACACCGATGTCGAGTGGTTGAACAGCGAGCACAGCGTTAATTTGTTTCCCCATGTTTTTCACATCAGCTGTGAGATGGGCACGCATGGAGTTACAGATTAATGGTGATGAGTGGGAAAAAAAACACCTGGTCTCCTTACATTCAGCCACTCTTTCATCATCTCCTCAATGAGGTGGTCTCAAAAGTCGCAGTTACAACACACATAGGGCGCACCGCACCATAGGGCACACCGCACATTTTGAGGGGAAAAAAAGACGTTTAAGTGCGCCTTATAGTCGTGAAAATACGGTAATTGTTGTTGATTGCAGATGTGTCTAGTAGTTCCCATTGATTTTGCTTGTAAAGCGGGCTTGTAAAGCATGCTTACTGCACCCTGACGTCACTGCCGGAGGGGCAAAAATGACGACGAAAACGATTGTTTTTAATTTTCTACTGATTAACCCTAAATTCATTAAATCACCACAAATGTATTAGTTTTAGGTATAAATAATGATCCATTGATTATTCCTTGCCGTCTGGACTTTTCCTTTAAAGCATCCTTCTAATTATTAAAAATGATCCAACTCAAACATAAATGATTCCAGTATTAGTTTTAAAGATAGCTGATTAAAAACTGGGAATAATAATGAAACACTTATTGAAACACAGCTATTTACACTTTACTGTGTAATTTTGTTCCAAGTGAAGTTTAATAAGTTTAAGCAAAAATGGCCGCTCCCAGACTCAGCGATCACGACAAAAAATATTATTATTATTTTCTTACTGATTAATTCAATAAATCAACGCAAATGTATAAGTTTTAGCATAAATAAAGATCCATTGATTATTCTTTGTTGAGTGGAGTTTCCCTTTAAATTAGCACTTCTTAACTATGTTAACATGTTCTTGCTACACTTAATTTAGTTTCTTTAATACTCATTTTAATACAACTACATATCTTTCTGCCTGTTTATCATCTAAAAATAAGCATCAGAAATATCTAGCTAATAAAATTCAGACAAATAAAAAAACTAAAATGTACGCACCTGTCACAAAAAGAATAAGTGAGAATGGACAGAATAAGCTGTATAGACAAGGCCACAGTGATCTAGTAATAAGTAAAAATTCTTTAAATTAGGAGTATTTACTTTACCAATGGAATCAGTATTTTTCCTCTTAAAATAAGATAATGAGATACTATGCACTTGAAATGAAAGACTGCAGCTGTTTTTTCTTATTTTAAATATAAATTGTCTTGTTCCATTGGTAAACTGTCTCACTTACCTCCTCAACTCAAGAAGAAATGCACTTATTTTAAGAAAAAAATTGTACTTATTGAGAATAAATTTTTACAATTTAGTACAATTGATCTAAATCCTAATTTCTAGGTTCTGTTTTTTATTCCATATGTTCAAAAGAGGCTGAACAAATGATTGATTCACATTTAATGAAACATTCCTTCTATATTTTCCAAAATAACATTGCTTTAGAGCGACCCTAAAGAAGATGTTCAACTCTAAATATAATTGAGTGACAATGTAGATTTAGTATAATGTTTTTATTGCGGGTTTTTAAACTACCAAAAGTTGTTAAAAAGTTGATATTTTTTTCTGTCCAATTAGATAAGTTTAAAATACTAAATCAGTTGTAACAATTTGGAACTTAGTAGCCTTCTTATCAACAGATGTGTTTAAGTAACTGAGTAACAGCCTGGTTCTGCTGGAGGTTTCTTCCTGTTCAAAGCGAGTTTTTCCTCTCCACTGTCCCTACAAACATGCTTAGTGTGAGGGATTGCTGAAGAGTCAATGAGTCGATGCAATCTACTGGTTTTCTTCAAATAGAAAACTTTGAATCAATTTGACTGGATGATCTGGTGAACTGTAAAGTGCCTTGAGATGACATGTGTAGTGAATTGGTGCAATAGAAATAAACTGAATAGAATTGTAACAAAGTACAAATACTTTGTTACCTTACTTAAGTAGAAATTTTTAATTTACTGGAGTAATTATGTTTTAGAACGTTTTACTTCTTCGCCTTACATCTAAAAAATAGACTCCTTCATTTAAGCTCATTTTCGTTATGACCTGTTGGTATTTAAAAAAAAACAAAAAAACATCAAAATAATTTGTTTTATCAAGACAATAAATTTCTTTGTGGTTGGATTTGGCGCTGCCCCAACTTGTTGTTCAGCACATACCAAAATAAATAGTTTTTCAAGATGATGCAAAGTTAAATTAGACACTGTTACCATTAGTTATAAAACTAAGAAAATTAAGTCTAAGGATGTTATCATCCAGATTTGAAGAACATTTTTCCTTTAATAGGTCAGTGCAGTAAAGCGTCTGTCCTTAACAATATCCTGCATTACTTTTACACTTTAAGTAAAAAGCTTGAATTGATACTCTAACTTCTGCAATAGGGTTTTTAAACAGCAGGATTTTAAATTCTGCTTGAGTAATACATATTCAGCCTTTTGACACCTTATCAAATAGTTTTTTTGAAATCTTTCTAGTGTTATTTCTCAGTTGGCAACTTTTTACTTAAACTTGAGCATAAATAAAATGAAGTATTGCTATTTCTTGTGGAGAGGCTATAGAACAAGAATGATGGACAGAATCTGTCAATCACACAGCATCCTGATGCTCCTTCTGCAGGTGATCAATGGGGTCTAATACCTTCTCCGGAATAGGAGCTCTGTGGTGTATAGCGCCCCCTGAAGTCACATAATAACACTGACATATTTTAAATATTTAAGATCAATAATGTAATGGTGTACAGAATTAGTCTGAAACATTCAGTTCATAATCCCAGTTCTGAAGTCTGCTACTATCTACTCATTGGTCCCTCCAGATATGTTACATAGGGGGAGGGGGGGGCAGATGGGGCACACTGAAACTAAAAGCCATCATTTCAGGGTTTGAATCAACTATTGTGGTAAACCTGCCTGTAGAAAGACTAAAGGAGAATTCCGGTTTTTAACACTTTTAGCCCATTTTCTGTAGTGTCCAGGATGAAATCGAATGATCGACACCAACATTTTGACAATTGCTCCTGTCTCTGCTTTTTGGCTCATTTAGAATCCACCCCTGGCTGCTTCAGAATGGCTTGCATAGAGCATGTCCGATAATGTCCTTAAAACAACCTTAAACGCTCTTTTTTTAAAATATGCTACTCACTGGGTCGTCAGCGCTGTTCAATGACGTTCCAAAAAAAGTTTCGTAAAGAAAAAACGTTCCTGTAGTGTTTTATTTAGCATTTTGTAAATCCCATTGAGTTCTGTTGGAATAGTCAATATCCCTCCGCCACCGGAAACGGAAATGGGGCCTGTTTACACAGTTGTAGTCTTTTCGCTTCACCCTGTGTACTCCGACGTCGAGAATCAAGAATCCACCTTTCGTATTCCATTTTCAGAGTTTTTTAAAGTGTTTAACAGAGACGTTAGCACCTCGACGTCGGAGTACACAGAGTGAAGCGAAAAGACTACAACTGTGTAAACAGGCTCCATTTCCGTTTCCAGTGGCAGCGGAATATTGGCTATTCCTACAGAACTCAATGGGATTTACAAAATGCTAAATAAAACAAGACAGGAACGATTTTTCTTTACGAAACTTTTTTTGGAACGTCATTGAACAGCGCTGACGACCCGGTGAGTAGCATATTTTAAAAAAAGAACGTTTAAGGTTGTTTTAAGGACATTATCGGACATGCTCTATGCTAGCCATTCTAAAGCAGCCAGGGGGTGATTCTAAATGAGCCAAAAAGCAGAGACAGGAGCAATTGTCAAAATTTTGGTGTCGATCATTCGATTTCATCCTGGACACTACAGAAAATGGGCTAAAAGTGTTAAAAACCGGAATTCTCCTTTAAGTAAAAATCTACTGACATCTTGGTTTATTCTGTGATTTTTAATGTTATGTCGCTGGGTGTGCTTAATGGGCTGAAATGCTAAACTGATGCTACTACAATTTTGGCTGTTTGGTGGCCATTGGGGGGACCTGTTTGCTGGCCAATGGAGCCAGTGGGGTGGCCAGGGCATTGCACAGGGTGGCCGTGGCCACCCTCTGGTGGCGCCACTGTTGATTTTCCCCCCAAAGTGAATAAGTGTTACAGAGATTCAATAAATCTTGAGTTTTGTTTTTACGTTGCAAGGGAGCAGACCACAAAGCGCTGCGTTACAACCGGGACATGTTCAGATGAGGCGGTTATTACGCAGAAAGAGTCTGCGCCGCACCGCGCGCCGCACCGCACCGCACCGCACCGCCCGGTGCGCAGCAGGAAGGTGAAAAAACTGAAATTACTGCCGGACACAGTGACAACATTCTGCCAGAACGGCTTCAAAATCAAATAATAAACGCTTCCTCCGACTTTACAGGATCACTTAAAGGAAGAACTAAAAAATAAACATAAAGACGGTGATTCCGCCTTCATTCGTCCATCATAACTAACCTTCTGTAAAGTATAATATTTCATTAAAATCTCCCAAAATCCTCCATCTGATCATTTGATAGGAGTGATTTTGGTCGTGAGCAGCCTTACAGTGATGCGCTCCGTGGTTATTCTCAGCTGGCTGTTAACAATAGCGGCTCTGGGTTCCTGGTGGAAATTTACCACCAAACAGACGTCCTACATGAGTCCTTTAATCAGCGGCGGTTGCCTCTGCTCACTGTAAGACTTATTCACTCTAAACATTCTGCACAGCCAACCTTTCTCAACACTTTTAAAACATGACTGATGTATTTATTTTTGAACATCTCACCTGACTACATTTAAACGGTGATTATTACGCAACACCTTCGCTTCGGCGCGACCCTTTAGGTGCGCTCAAATGATGCAGGTTCCACTAAACCAATGAAAGTCAATCAGCAATCAGTCACAGTAAATAAATCAAACAGATCATCCCGCTGACAGCCGCAGCATATATGGGCATAAGAATATGGAAAGTAGCGGAGCTTCCTCTGTGGGAACCAGTAACTCACCTCCACCGTGCATTTGACAGAGGTAAGGAAACCTCCACACGTTTCCCAGTCCGACGGCATAGGAAACACAGGCCAGAACAAACTCCATGGGGCTCCCCCAGCTGTCCCGAGCATCTTTCGCCATGTCTGCGATCTGAGAGAAGAAGGAGACGGAGAGGTTCACGCGCAGCCAAACTCCAGCAGCGCCGGTCTGACGCGGCAGCGGCTTTATAAACTGGGATTGAATAGCGGTCCAGGGAGGAGGGTCCTCCGCCGGGGGGGGGGGGCGGAACAAATGACTACAATACCCATGAACCGTTAGCTGGAAGCCTGGCCTAGAGCTTCCGGGAAGATGTAGTTTTCCAAATATGGATGTTTCCGATCGATCTAACTGGGATTTAAAGTCACGAACATTGATTAAGAGAAGCCCTCCTCTGGTTTCATATCTGTTACATTTGTTTTAAATCACGATCTAAAAAGCGACATTTAGACAAAATGTGAAAGTGGGCGGGGCTGCGTGTAATCACAGTGAATATTTAAATAAACACGTGAGGCTGCGCGCTCATTCATCAGTGGAAAATAACCAACCTTGTAACGAAGATTACTGCAGCCTGCTATCTATCTATCTATCTATCTATCTATCTATCTATCTATCTATCTATCTATCTATCTATCTATCTATCTATCTATCTATCTATCTATCTATCTATCTATCTATCTATCTATCTATCTATCTATCTATCTATCTATCTATCTATCTATCTATCTATCTATCTATCTATCTATCGTAGATTATTCGCCCAGGAAAAAAGAAGTATTTCTGCGTGGGGGTCTGCTTCTATGACTTCTTTGAATGTATATATTTGCCCCTAAACACCAGACTGTGTTTGGTCGGTCTGATTTTATCCCACTTTAGTCCAATAATAGACATTGAAAAGACCTTGTATACTCAGCTTTCCACATCTGCACAGTGACCTGAAAATAACGGGTATTCAATGTCTTTTTAACCAAAGTTTGGTAGTAGTTCCAAACTACAATGCTGGGATTTTAGCACCTCAGTGAATGAGGCAGAGTTAGAAAAAAACAGTTTAGTCTGACCTCCTGCATATAAGCTCAAACCAAGTAACACTGTGCTGTGCAATATAACTTCCTGCTTAAGCTCCTTACATAACAGGCTTTAGTTGGGGCTCCTTCCACAGACCACGTCCAGACCTAACTCTCTGCTCCCCTTGTAATATTTGTTTAATGAAAGATTAATCTTTTTTTTTTACTTCCAGTTGAGTCTCTATGTTCTGCTTTTGGGTCATACTGAATCTAAGTTACCAATGCATTTGCTTCAAATTTATGAAAGTATCATACGGCATTGAATACATTTTCTTTGCTATTCTAATGGTACTTAGATAAATTCAATTCACTTTATTTATATAGCGTCAATTCACAACACATGTCATCTCAAGGCACTTTACAGTTCACCAGATCATAAAGCTAAATTGATTCAAAGTTTTCTATATAAGGAAAACCAGTTCATTGCATCATTGACTCAAAGGCAATCCCTCACTCTAAGCATGCTTGTAGCGACAGTGGAGAGGAAAAAGTCCCTTTTAACAGGAAGAAACCTCCAGCAGAACCAGGCTCAGTGTGAGCGGCCATCTGCTGAGGCCGACTGGGGTTCAAGGAGACAGAAGCAGAGATACAAAAGCAGCTATAAAAGGCGGCCCCATCCAGGAAACACACAGCCAGACAGACGAGCTGTGAGCCAGCTCCCATGTCAGAGGATGAAGAGAGCACATCCAGTTAGTCACAGTCAGAGAAACAGGACTACACTGGAAAACAGGCAGATCTCCAAAATCTAGAAACAAGGGTGTTGATGGCAGCAGCACAGCTGATATTTCTCTCCAGGATGGAGTCACAGCCAAACAGGAACAGACCAGATTAAGCTACTATGAGAAAAAGCAGAGAGAGCAGAACGTTAGAGATTGAACTAACAGATTCTGCAGAATAGGAGATAGAGATAGAATGAAGCAGGATGATGAAAAAGGGGTCCCTATATATCCATACACCCTGATTAACACAGTCTCTTAAAACATTAGGCATATCTTTCAGCCATTAAAACATGTGGGACCTTTTATTTTCTGCTTCTGGTTATGAAGCTAACCCATTACATAGATTACAGGCATGTCTTGAAGACATAAAAACCTGGATGACTCTTAACTTTCTCCTTCTGAATGCAGACAAAACAGAAGTTATAGTCTTTGGACCAGAGTCTTTGAAAAAGAAGCTGATTAGCCAGTCACTTCATTTGGATGGAATTAAACTGATTTCAGATAATAAAATAAAAAATCTTGGTGTTGTTTTTGATCACGACCTGTCCTTTTAATCCCATATCAAAGAGGTTTCTAGAATGTCCTTCTTTCATCTGAGGAATATTGCAAAAATGAGAAATCTCCTTTCCAGGGGTGATGCTGAGAAACTAGTCCATGCATTTGTTACTTCAAGGCTGGACTATTGTAATTCTTTACTATCAGGAAGTCCACAAACTGTAGTTAAAAGCCTTCAGCTGATCCAAAATGCTGCAGCCAGAGTTCTGATGAAAATTAAAAAGAGAGATCATATCTCTCCTATCCTGGCTTCTCTTCATTGGCTTCCTGTTAAATCAAGAATTGAATTTAAAATCCTCCTTCTCACATATAAAGCCTTAAATGGCCAAGCTCCATCTGATATCAGAGATCTGATTGTTCCTTATGTTCCTAACAGAGCACTTCGCTCTCAATCTGCAGGTTTACTAGTGGTTCCTAGATTTTCTAAAAGTAGAATGGGAGGCAGATCTTTAGTTATCAGGATCCTCTCCTCTGGAACCAACTACCAGTTTTAGTCCGTGAGGCAGACACCCTGTCTACTTTTAAGGCTAGGCTTAAAACTTTCCTTTTTGATAAAGCTTCTAGTTAGAGTGGCTCAGGTTATCCAGAGCTATCTCTATAGTTATGCTGCTATAGGTTTAGACTTTTGGAGGACATAGGGACCCTCATTTCATCATTCTGCTTCATTCTCTCTCTATTCTCCTATTCTGCAGAATCTGTTAGTTCAATCTCTAACCTTCTGCTCTCTCTGCTTTTCCTCAGAGTAGCTTTGCCTCATCTGTTCCTGTTTGGCTGTAACTCCATCCTGGAAAGAAACATCAGCTGTGCTGCTTCCATCAACACCCTTGTTTATAGATGCTGAAGCTTGTCCTGTTTTCCAGTGTGGTCCTGTTTCTCTGACCCTGACTGAGTGGATGTGCTCTCTTCATCCTCTGGCATGGGAGCTGGCTCGGAGCTCGTCTGCCTCGCTGTGTGTTTCCTGGACGGGGCCACCTTCTACAGCTGCTTTTTGTGTCGCTGCTTCTGTCTCCTTCAACCCCAGTCGGCCTCGGCAGATGGCTGCTCACACTGAGCCTGGTTCTGCTGGAGGTTTCTTCCTGTTAAAAGGGAGTTTTTCCTCTCCACTGTCGCTACAAGCATGCTTAGTGTAAGGGATTGTATTTGAGTCAATGAGTCGATGCAATCAACCAGTTTTCCCTAGATAGAAAACTTTGTATCAATTTGACTGTATGATCTGGTTTAACTGTAAAGTGCCTTGAGATGACATGTGTTGTGAATTTGGCGCTATATAAATAAACTGAATTGAAAATTGAATTGAATTGCTTCTATATTCAGACACAACAACCTTGCTACGTTTAGACAGGAGACGGCCATTGGTGATGGTCTGTAAGACATCTTTCTTTCACCCCTACAACATTGCCAAACTGGAAAGATCCTGTCGAATATACACTACCGTTTTACAATTTTGTGTTTTCCTTTAAAGTGACACTTATTCACCATCATATGTTGTAAAATGAATAGAAAATAGAGTGAAGACAGTGACAAGGTTAGAAATAATGATTTGTATTTGAAATAAGATTTTTTTTACATCAAACTTTGTTTTCGTCAAAGAATCCTCCATTTGCATCAATTCCAGCATTGCAGACCTTTGGCATTCTAGCTGTGAATTTGTTGAGGTAATCTGGAGAAATTTCACCCCACGCTTCCAGAAGCAGCTCCCACAAGTTGGATTGGTTGGATGGGCGCTTCTTGCGTACCATACGGCCAAGCTGGTCCCACAACAGCTCAATGGGGTTCAGATCTGGTGACTGCGCTGGCCACTCCATTACTGATAGAATACCAGCTGCCTGCTCCTGCTCTAAAGAGTTCTCGCTCAATTTGGAGGTGTGTTTAGGGTCATTGTCCTGTTGTAGGATGAAATTGGCTCCAATCAAGCGCTGTCCACTGGGTATGGCATGGCGTTGCAAAATGGAGTGATAGCCTTCCTTGTTCAGAATCCCTTTTACCCTGTACAAATATCCCACCCTATCAGCACCAAAGCAACCCCAGACCATTACATTACCTCCACCATGCCTAACAGATGGCGTCAGGCATTCTTCCAGCAACTTTTCATTTATTCTGTGTCTCACAAAAACGTTCTTCTTTGTGATCCAAACACCTCAAACTTAGATTAATCTGTCCACAACACTTTTTTCCAGTGTTCCTCTGTCCAATGTCTGTGTTCTTTTGCCAATCATAATATTTTTCTTTTATTGGCCAGTCTCAGATATGGCTTTTTCTTTGCCACTCTGCCCTGAAGCCCAGAATCCCACAGCCGCCTCTTCGCTGTAGATGTTGACACTGGTGTTTTGCGGGTACTATTTAATGAAGATGCCAGTTGGGGATCTGTGAGGTGTCTGTTTCTGAAACTACAGACTCTAATAGACTTATCTTCTTGCTCAGTTGTGCAACGCGGCCTCCCACTTGTTTTTCTACTGTGGTTAGAGCCTGTTTGTGCTGTCCTCTGAAGGGAGTAGTACACACCGTTGTAGGGATTCTTCAACTTCTTAACAATTTCTCGCATCTTGTTCATTTCTAAGGACAAGAATAGACTGTCAAGTTTCAGATGAAAGTTCTCTTTTTCTGGCCATTTTGAGTGTTTAATTGACCTCACAAATGTGATGCTCCAGAAACTCAATCTGCTCAAAGGAAGGTCAGTTTTATAGCTTCTGTAACGAGCTAAACTGTTTTCAGATATGGTCCAAATAAACTGTACAAAGACCACAAATTGCTAAAAGGGCTGTTTCAT